AATATATCATGCATGTGCCAATTATACGGTCGGTGTGATGTAACCGACCAATCAAATTGGCGGCATTTTATATATCCCAACAAGCTTCATTTTTTATTTAAAAAGTTGTTCCGGCTACATACGGTTCACATGATTCTCCTTTTTCCTCTTGCATCATGCCCCTAAACCGTTTGAAGATGAGCACTCCCATGTCCAAGTGCCAATATTTCTCATCCATGGGTGAGAGTAGTAAAAAGGAGAGGTTAAACCCATTCAAGCCAACCATTAATCTGTACATATTTCGCTGTATTTGTCACAATTTATGTTGAAGAATGAGAGAGGGTGATGCCGGCAACCCTTATCCATTTATCTGGCCATAGGGCCATAACAGAAGGTGCATACAAAGAGAGCCGTCCTCATCACCTCCTTAGAAAACAGTGCAAAAGAAAGAAGGAATCCAACTTTCCGATGAAAAGCCCAAAGCACCAATCATGATCAACTAGCTTTTTCGATGTAGACATTAGTAATTCATACACCATCTTAAAATGGATTTTCGAATGGACGGCGTGTATCTATTGACTTCTTAAATAGAAATATCACATTTTGTTTCTGAAAAAGATAGGTTGCTCGAATATGCAGGTGTCACTGATATTTGTGGCCACTAATGTAGATATGCATATAGAAATGACTTTGTTTTTTTTATAAATATTTGGAGCAACCTCTTTCGAACCTTGAAGGCCTTATCGTGACTCATCCTCTCTCTGTTTCTCTCTCAAAATATGTGCTGACACTTGTGGATAATAGAGGAAGGCAAGGACGAAGAGACAGGCATTGGCGCATCGGCGACCGAGTTTTCGCGTCCCATCATCTCTCATCAAGGACCTCGCATGTTTGCTCAGAGAGAATGATGCAGCCAAGGATGACTTGCCGAATTACATTCCCTTATTTCTGGAAAGCATCTTTCGATCTGGATTTTGAGTTGGCTCTTGACCAGTCATTCGAACAAAACCTCGAAGATCAATCGGCAAGTTGTTCTTGGCTACATGCTTCTTTCTTGAGCCTCATGTTTGGCTCTTGGTGATCATTGCTAATCACTCACGGTCGTGGTCTGCATCCGGTGCTTCTCCGAGATTCTTGATTCTTCATTCGGTACGTTATCTCGTGCCCAGACATTCGATGTTCATTTAAACGTGAGCCTACTTCAGCTCGCAAGAAGGAGAATCTTATGCAACTGACACATCACTTGGAAAGATGAAACTTTTCTAGATTTCCAATCCAAAAAGTCGTTTTTTCTCAACGGGCATGCATATATACTTTATTAGATTGTTTTCTGACTCGTTATACTATTTTGTAAGTAGTGTTGTACATTCGTAGCATTCTTTGTTTGAGAATGCAACAGCGCGATCTAGAGAAGTTGATGGTTGATCCGACAATACTGCATACTTGTGCGGTCTACTCACATCCACTTCTGATATAGATATATCTGAAAGTTAGTCTTGAGAAGGAGGATTAGTATATATTGCACAGGAGTGGGGAGCCACGGGGAAAAACCTTTGCCATTATGTACTATACATGCTATCTGAACAACCTTTCTTTGCCTGATCTTTTTGGCAATGTACTTTTCTGATTGATTTTGAGAGGTCCACATTGCAGATTGTCCATGTCTTATTCTACTAGAACCAATCATCTCCATTTATAGTTGGCTTTCATTGATGATCAGTAGGATATGAACGACGATCAATTCGACTCAGAATAACACAATAATCAAGATCTGTTTGATGGGATTGTTAGTTTCCACCAGTAAAACCGCTTTGTCTACTAATATTGTTGAAATATATCTTGAGTTTGAGCTCATTGAATAAATACCAAAAATTAAGCGTGCGAGTTTGTCTCAAGAAAATTAAGTCCATTTTGGACTTTTGTGATTGTCTACGATTTTCTTAAGCACACCGGCCATACTTCCCATATTAAATGCTCCGCATGTGAAAGGAAGAAAGAAGACGAAGACAAAGAAAACATTGAAGTTTGTGTGTGTGAAGAAAGTGCAATGGGCATTCACTCCGTGGGTCAAATAAAGAGGACATGGGTTTCGAAAGTTAGGCAATCGAACAATAAATTTAACATAATAAGAAAATAAATCGGAGGGCGCCGTTAATGCATGCACATGGCCATGTGCATGCCATGAAAATGGAGGGCGCCGTTGCTGCTTTCATTTAATGCAAATAGGAGCCCTTTCTGTTGTTCTATTCGGCTGAGTCTTAATTGGTGTTGAATTCTCTGAGAGTGGAAGGAGAATAGCATGCGAGTGGGACTTCTTCACATAGAGAGAGAAAGAGAAGATGAAGTGCAATGATGACCATTGAATGATGTAGACTATCTCTTGTGCATTATAAAAGAGAGAGAGACGTCCAACGAAGGTGTGCCAAGTTCCATTCGGTGGCCGAGAGAAGAGAGAGTTCTTCTTGTGAGGGATTTTCTTGTTGTAATTATACCCGAGTGATTTAGCCAATTAAATTCTTATGAGTAGAATTTGTATAATTCCTTGAGTGAGATTTCATTAAGAATTGTGAGGGGCCTTGAGAGAAATCCTTTCTTTACCTGCATTTGTGGACCTAATGGAAATTTGTTTCCTAGCGCCGCTTTAGCTATGTTTTTTGCGGCTCGGCTAGGTACTCAAGATTCTCGATTTCTCCATTTCCTGATGCTAGCAATGTACATCAGCCGAATAGGATCATTGTCCGTTCTTCTAAAACCGCTATTGAATATTGAAGCATTCCCTTGTTAGAGCTAAAGCAAAGCTTGGTCTACAAATGATGTGGCAAAGACATATAGTTTATCACATCACTTTGTTCTACTGAATTATCGCATCAGTTTACTAACCGAGTTTTATACATTGTCTTTGCACCCCCTATCATACTTATGTATGGAAATCTGGTTATCTCCATGTTTGGCAATTCACACTTTTGCAACCTTAGATGGTTGTAACTTTCCCTTCCTTTAGTATTCTTTGATTAGGTTCTGAGATTATAGATTCTGTAACCTTGTTTTATTGTATATTCGTGCTAATCTAGCACTGGATAGTAAATATTTGGCAAGCAGTTCTTTAACAAGCAGCAATGATTAGTGAAGTGTATGCTTTTCCGGTTAGAAAGGCGGTGAATTAATTAAGATTGCATACGTTTGAGAGGGTAAATTAACTTCCTGAAGTGACTCGTGTTTCAGTTTCAAACACGAGCTCAGTATCTTCCGTCAGGCGAAGCCATGATGTGATTGATAGAACAATAAAACGGGGAAAGCATCTCAACGATCACTTCTTGTAATCAACTTTTAATGGTTGATTCTTCAATTTGCTTTCATCTTGAGTAGTGTTAACCGAAATTCTCTAGCTGTGGCAACTTCTTGAAGACACAAGAATCCAAAAATGCTAGACAGGTGTTAAGCTTGATAACAGTGGGTTGCGTTTGATTCAGCTTTTGCACAAAGAATTTGTGGTTGTGTAAAGTACTTTAGACCAAAGGGATTTTATGAAAAGTAAAGAGTGTTTAGTGAGCACTTGTAAAAATTTTCATTGTAACATAATTTTTAAATTAAGAAAAAGGAGAATGGATGAGCTTCGGAAACGGAGGAAAGCCTAGGTGAAGGGCCACGGAAGTCATGCAACTCCAGGTGACGGGCCACTAGGGTCGCGCAGCCCAGGCATGCTAGATTTGGAGATCAGAGGTGAGTGCTGACCCTCAACGACCCTCACTGATCCTTGGCGAGCATCACGCAACCTCAGGTGAGCTAAATATGAAGACCGGAGGCAAGCATTGATCAAAGGCCGGCGAGCTAGATCTAGAGCGAGGATCATCTCTATATGAAAGAGATGAGGAACTGTGTCCGGAGTAACAGTAGGGGTAAAACGGGATTACGAAAATACTAGTGAGGGCAAGATTAGAAAAACAAAAATTCGTCCACCCTATCAATTGACATTATCGGAATGCAGAAAGCCGAAGCTGGTACCAAGTTGCATCGAGCTTGCAAAGCTCGACTTCGCACCAAAGGTCCTTGAGAATGTGTTAACAAAAATCAAAACTTTAGCTAAGAGCCTTCGATGGTTTTGTGCAGAGTTTTATGAGAAAAATTTGCTGGTTATTTTTCTCAACCTGCTTAACTTTGAGCACCACCACTTGGGCGACGAGTTCGGAGTGAAGTTAATTAGAGAGATACAAGAATATGCTCCTTTTGAGTAATTGCAGTTACTACATCGTCGGAGTTTTCTCATTCAAATGTCCTCTGTACTTGCTTCCTCATTGCAATATTAAGCATTTCGAAACTCAAATGGTCGATGTTCCGACTGCTTGGGTTTGCTATTCCATCTGATGTAAAATTCCTAACCCCAGGCCGAGCACGGTCCATGTACGCAAAAAACAACCCAGACAATGTTTCCTAGGTACATACATTCTTGTGGACGCGTCAAACAGAAAACGGTGATTTCTTCCTAAAACGAACAAGCAGTGACATATCGCAAGTCTCAACGCACACCACCGCCATTCTGGCCACCTAAGTAGCACTGACACGCAATGCGACACGACGCGACACGACACATCATTTCTCAAAAAATAGAGAAATCCGACACGTTGGGACATATTGTATATTTAATGTATATTTTTAGATATACATAATAAATGATCATTTTTATGATTATTCAATCAAATTAATTTGATTCAAATCCATAAATAAATAAATAAATAAGAGTGTCGGACGAGTGTTGGTGTCCGACACGTCCGACACGACACGGAAGCCCCCGGAGACTGTCCGTGCTTCCTAGCTGGCCACGGGACAAACATACAAGGCACGTTACATTAGAATATAAAATGAATAGATCTTCACATTACAACAGCTTCTTCCCCTAGCATAAAAGAGAACAACAAGGCAACTCACAAACTAACCGGTATTCTATTAGGTACTGAGAGACCAGCAAGCTTGGATCCAAAAATATATAAATCCAAAGCTCGCAAACCACTGGCTATACACTATTATCTTTACCACTTTCTTGTTTCGTAAGCACCGTAAAGAGGGAAACAAGCCCAGAAAAAAAGAAAAACAGAAAATGCCTGTACAAGAAGAAGAGAGATGTAGGCCAAATACTATAGTTGACAACCTCATCTTGCTGTATTAACCAAAGGTTTTTGGTCCGAAGAGGTTGATGAGGGAAGGGGAAGTGAAACGGGGAGAGGAAGGTCCGGATGGCCGGGAGACACCACAGGTTCGGCCACTGCTTCCTCCTGCTCCATGGCGGGAACTGGCTTTGGCGTGTAGTTGAAAGACAAATCTTTGTTGGCTGCGAGCGCCAGGAGCTCTTTCTCTTCCAGACCTTTTGTTGGGCCGAGGCTACAACGGTCTGGGGTGTGCTTGGCCAATGCATCTTTGAATTTCTTTATCTGAGAAACACCAACACAAGCAATTTTTACATCAGCAATAAACTTGACAGGACAAAACAAAATAGTGTGCATAGCATATCATTATCCAACAGTCAATGAAAGCAACATGGTAGCCAGAATTCTCAGGATTTATTGGCAAGAAAGTTGATCCTAAAGAGTAAACTAATTAATATTTTGGCTAGAAAAGAAAGGCTAATTAATGTTATGGGTCTTCTTTACGAGTGCCTCTGGTTAAGAAACCGAAGAGCAGTTTCCAGGGAACCACAACATCTATTTCACATAATTTTCTGACAATCTTGAGAAGGAACTGAAATTTCATGAAGCACGATCATGTTAACTTCCAATCTAAGATGATGTCGTTGGGACAAAAAAAAGGACGAGTGTCCTTTTAAAAAATTGACAGCTTGAAGAAGAAAACATTTTCAAAAAAAATTTCCAATCAAAGTAATACGGGGAGAAGAACCCTAGAAGTGCCAAAAGTTGTGTACGGTGCTCACTTTAGTGTTAAAAGTTTTCTTCGGCTCACTTAAGTGCCAAATCGGAGAAAAAACGATCACTTAAGTGCCTCTGCCGAGAAATTCCGACAATTCGACCCTCGTGGCATTTCTTATAAAATTTTAATGTCTATGTGGCTTTTTTTTTATATAAAAAATGAATTCCTAACGTGGATGATGACCTGGCCTTTCTTGACAACACAATGTCACTTCAAGTTCTAAACTCATTCTTTCTCTCTCTTTCGGGTTCTCGCTTCTCTCTTCTCTCTCTTGATTCCAGCGGCATTACGGAGCTCCTTTTATGGAGAGCACATAAATCACACGATTAGAAGACAAAACCATTACAACACGAATCAAATCTTAAAAGCACGCTTGATTCGGCAAAATATTAGATCCGTAGAATATCTGAGATGAAAGTGTTCATGATTTTCCGGTGAACAAAAAGCAGCCATCCGACAAACAAAAGCAAAATACCCACATGAGGGTTTTGCTTCACTGGGTTGCGATTTTGAAGGTGAAATCAACAGAAAGGGGCAAACTTGAGGTAAGCCATCCCACAAACAAAAACAAAATACCTAGATGAGCGTTTTGCTTAAGTGGGTTGCGATTTTGAAGGTAAAATCTACAGAAAAGGGAAAACATGAGGCAAAGAGGTTGTTTTCTAGTTTTTAGCTCCATTTTTTAAAATTTTTTTGAGATTAAAATTGCGATTTTGGGAGGTCCCGCTCCGTTGACTCCCTCGCCTCGTGCCTCTCCGCCATGGGCATCTGAAAGGGCAACTGTCGTCTTCCTCCTCTCCTCTCGTCGTCTACCTCGCCGTCATGCCCTTGGTGCCGCCATCATCGTTAGCATCCAAAGCTTCAAAAAGGCTCCTTGTTCACTTTCATCACCAAGAGTTTCAGCAACTAATTTTCCACCAAATCCTCTATTATGAGATAGGGTTTGAGGGAGAAGCTAAATTTGTCCCCAAATCACTGATTTTGAGATTAGGGTTTGAAGGGAGGTTGAATTTGGGGCAAATATGTGGTAAATAGCGTTGTTTGGGTTAATATATGCTGACTCACTATACCGGCAAGCCACGTTGATCAAAAGAAATATTAAAATATTGCAACGTCGGATTTCCGGCGACCTAAATAGGATTTAGCACTTAAGTTATTGTTTTTTTTTAAAGTAGCACTTAAGTGATTCGAAAAAAACTTTTGGAACTAAAGTGAGCGCCGTACACAACTTTTGGCACTTGTGGTGTCCTTTTCCCAAGTAATACAAGATAACCTCGAAACCTACCCCATACCCCTAAAAATGATCATATAGACAAATGATACTTGATAACAACATAATCCAGCATCACTAGCCACGCCTGACGTGGAGTCTTAGGGCTATGACACAAGGTATTCCTTCACTCCATAAGATTTGCACTGTACAGCCTCGCGGTAATTCTAACTTTATAAACCCATAAAACAACATATGTAAACTCAGCAGATTGGTGAAGACTGAAGTAATAAGAAAAGTCAAAACCGCACCAGTCAGACCACTACCAAACAAAAGCACCAATCACTGGACCATCAGCAGAGATAGAAGAGATCCCGAGAAACTAACCGTGGCATTAGTGCAGCTGAAACTGCAGAGCCGGCCATGAGCGCCTCTATATAATCGGAAAAACGGGAGAACATGAACGTTGAGGCTATAGCACATGGACTTGTGCTCCTCATAGTTCACCTGAAGGAACTGCACGTCCGGGTTCGTCTCCACCAATTGGCATATCTTCGGATGCAGGGCCCTGCATCCGCCGCACCCCGGGGAGAAGTCCACAACCACCAGCTTATCTCCGGCGCTCGACAGACACTCCACGAGGTCTTGCGCACCATTGACCTCTCTCATGTTCGGTTGAAGCCCCTTCTCCCAACATTTCTGAGCCTTCCCTATTCTTAAATTACCCTGTGCCATTTCATATTGCAAGAGACACTCAATTATTTCAATTATCTACACTTTCTTCACACTGATCGGTGAGAATAAAGTGCTGAAAATTTACTAAGAACTAATATGCTGAGATTTACACTTTCTTCACACGTTTGTAGACCAATTTTGACATATCATTATTCAACCGAGAAATTATTCCGTTTTTTAAAGAAAACAGAAAAAGAACATCAGAAAGAAATACCACCATAAATGGAGACCAAGATTGGACAGATACAAGATAAAACGGAGACCACGCACAAAAACTTCTCAAAAAACAGAACCCGAATGTAACGAGCAATCTGAACAATATCCAAGCAACAGACGAATCGTGAGGTGCGGGGAAAAAAGCCAAACCTGCACATTCGAGGAGTAATTTCGCGATATCCTCCTCTTCGGCACACATTCACGTTGCTTGTGCACAACCCCGTCACCGAAAATACCGCTCCGATCTGGAGACGGAAGATCTCAGCCCCGGAGGCCTCGACATCGCGACGGGGCGGAACCTGAGCCGAAACCCCGCTGCAAACCTGCCGGCCCTGAAGCCTCTGGGGAACACGGGGGCGCCGCAGCATTCGCCAGTGTCCCGAGGGTGGTGCGACGAGCACAGGCTTGATCTGCTCAGGAGCTCGGCCATTTCCTCACGTCGCAGAGCAAAAGAAACAGACCCGGATCTTCCTTCGGCCTGTTGATCGAACTGCAAACGAAAGGGGCGGTTGGGTTGAAGGATTTGCTCATTCAACAGAGAGAGAGATGAGGAGAATATGTTGTTCTTTTCAGCCTTTGATGGATGGAAAAAGTGGAGTGATAGGGCGAAAAAAAATGAGAAATTTGGGGTGACCGTTGGATTAACCGTTGGGCAGTTAACAGGATGTGAATCCGACGGTGGTGATCAGCGGAGAAGGACGTCATAGATTTTTACCACCCGACAAGTCGTTAAAGTGTGAAATCAAGTGGCTTTCATGATGCGGGGGAGGCGCACGTGAGCAGTGGAAGATCATACACGTGGCGGCATCTGAAGCCCTGGGCAAGGACGGTGAAAGGGGAAGCCGTTGGATTTGGATATTCTTCCCGGATAAAACTCGCGAATGGCAGTTCTTCTTGCCACATCGTTGAATTGAACATGAGGGAAGCAAAAAAACTAGAAGATTTCTCATGAGCACTTGAAGGATGTGAGCCAATTCATCCCGTCGATTGGATCACGCGAGTCTCATGTGATAGCCGCATTATCGAGCTACCACGACCAACTAGGCTCGCATGATCCGAGAGCATGCAAGAAACGCTCGAAAACTTGTCAAAATTATAGTCACTCGATATTGTTTGGCATAAGATAGGTGAACTTGGATTACATGTACCAGATACATTTAGATACATGTCCACAACGTAGGAGATGATTATGGGCCACTTGAGCTTGACTGATCCAAAGGACGAAATAGGCGAGTCTAAACAAGTCATTCCCTCTTTTAATCCGGCTCCACTTGCTAGTTATGCTTGGCCATGCCCAATCAATTTTATATCAAGATTGAATCTTTTCCCCTTATTAAAAGGAAGGGTTTAAGATCCAACACTACGTCCGGCCAATCAGGAATCGTGCATTGATTAGATATAGTCGATGCACGTGATGATAGCTCAGGTGACGCAAATGATAGTCGTCTTATTATCTTGGCTACTTTTGAATTACAAGATTTGATCCATAATCAATGTTGGACATTTGTGAATGCCTTTAGTATAATTCATTGGTAAAAAATTAAGATTTAAATTGCTTATGAATTTGCTTTGTAATAGAGTAAAGATAGCGACCCAAAAAAAAGTAGAGTAAAGATAATTCTTGACCAAAAAAATAGAGTAAAGATAATGCAAAGCTTGTTTACATACTTTCTTCTCTTAAAAGCGAACAGGATCACACATTATTTTTGCCTAAAAAATCTCAATGAGGCAATGCTAAAGATACTAACATTTCTAAACTAAATTTGGTTTAATACGTTATATAGCGTGTGTGAGTAGTTGATTAAGATAATGGGCCTATTTAAGCCCCCGATAGATGTCTGCCACATAATTTAACAAGTATATTCGATCGATAAGCCTTAGCATGTCAAAGCGTCAAGGCAAAGAAGGGCCACGGGAAATCGAGTGATGTTTTACATGAGTTGGAGGCCCACGTGGCGAAGATGAAGATCGTCAGGGGGCTGTCCAAGGGTTGGTCGAGGAAATGTCCGAGAGCACCAATGGGCTTGAGTCCAGGAAGCGAGAGCTCTAGGCAGAGGTGCAAGGGCTTGAATCTGTCATGGGTGAGCTCTAAGGAGAGATGTTGGGCACCTTGAGCACCACAGCTGATGAACTTCGGTAGCGGGATGATACCTTGAAGGCCTTAGTGGAGGCTTTGAGTGCGGAGATGATCGAACTTAAGGCGAAGCTCATCGAAATAGAAGCTGCAGATGTCAACGGGGTTATCACCATGCAACCAGGTCCACGAGTGGACGCCCCTAAGCGAAAACAGTTCAAGGGCTCAAGGTAGCTAAGGATGTGGACAACTTCCTATGGTACATAGAGCAGTACTTCCAAGCAATGGGAGTTATTGATGGTGCGCTTCGGGTAACTATCGCGGTTATGTATTTGATTGACAATGCCCTATTATGGTGGCATCACAAGTGTGATGATAGGAGTGGGAAACCCATCACAACTTGGAAGATGTTCGTCAACAAATTCCAATGACAATACTACCCCGCGTATGCGAAGGAAGAAGCTCAAGAAGAACTCTGTTGCTTGGAGCAAAGAGGTGGAGTCTGAGAGTATGTGAAGAAGTTCTCAGAGTTGTTGCTACAAATCCCCTCTATGAATGATGTGGAAGCTTATTTCCAATTCATGGGTGGTCTCAAATCATGGGTGAAGCAAGAGTTGAAGCAGCATAATGCGAGAGACCTCTTGACGGCCTTGTCTGTGGCTGAGACACTCGTGGAATACAAGGGGAAGTCCCAAGACAAATCGGATTCTTGACCTACGAACAAAGGCATGGTGGGGAGATCGCAACAAGTTCCACCGCCCAAGTGGAGGCAAACCGCCAGCGGTCCCTGCAAAGGAGAAGTCGGAGTCGAGTGATGGAGGACACAAGAAAGAACACTTCTCTTTCAAGTGTTTCTTGTGCGATGGGGCGCACAAGTTGCACAAGGCTCGTGATTGCCCAACATGAGGAAAACTTGCGTGCGCTTGTCAAGGCCCACGAAGAGGAGCGAGATGATACACAACTCAGTTTGTTGTGAATCCTAAGTTCTATCAAGGCAAAGAAGTCAAACAAACCGAAGGGCCTCATGTTTGCAGACGTGACAATTGAGGGTACCACGATGAGTACACTTGTGGATACCGACGCATCCGATCTCTTTATCTCAAAGGAGGTCACAAGAAAACTCAACCTTCAAGTCGAGAAAGGAGCCGGGTGTCTCAAAACCGTGAATTCAAAGGAAGTCCCTACATGCGGCGTGGCGAGGGACGTGGAAGTTCACATCGGACAATGGAGAAGCAAGGAGACTCTCGAGGTAATCCCACTTGACAAGTGTGACTATGTTATCAGTTTGGTTTCCTTAATAGGATAGGTGCTCTTTTTGTTATGTTCGACAATTATATATGCATCTTGGATACACATGGTCAAGGTGTTATCCCGGTAAAGCATGAATCGGAACGTGACCTAAAAGTGTAATTGGCAATGCAAGTCTCCAAAGGGGCAAAGATAATAGAAGTGACTTCCTTGGCAGCTTTGAAGGCCCCAAGGGCAATGGGAATGAGATCCCTATTGAGGTAGCCCAAACCCTTGACTAATTCAAGAACGCGATGCCTCTTGAACTATCAAAGAAGCTACCACCTCGGAGGGAGGTAGATCATCGGATTGAGCTAGTCCTTGATAATCGACCACTTGCCATGGTACCCTACTATATGGCACCCCCGGAGTTGGAGGGGTTGCACAAACAACTTAAATGGTTGCTCGATGATGGCTATATCCAACCACCAAAGGCTCCATTTGGAGCCCCGAACCTTTTCCAAAAGAAATGCGATGGGTCACGTTGGTTGTGTATCGACTACCGTGTGTTGAATAAGCTGAGGATAAAGAATAAGTACCCAATCTTGCTCATCGCTGATTTGTTCAACCAACATGGTGGTGCGCAGTGGTTCACGAAGCTAAATTTGCGATCGGGATACTATCAAGTGCAAATTGCCGAGGGGGATGAGCTGAAAACCGCATATGTACACGATATGGCTCGTACAAGTTCCTAGTGATGCCTTTTGGCTTAACCAGCACACCGGCAACATTTTACACACTAATGTATAAGGTATTCCGCCTATTCCTTGATCGATTTGTTGTGGTTTACCTAGATGATATTGTGATGTTCAGTCGAACGCTCGAGGAGCACATCGAGTATCTCAGATGGATCTTCCAAGTACTACGAGAGGATGACCTATATGTGAAGCGCTAGAAGTGCGCGTTTAAGCATCGGAAAGTGCCATTCTTGGGCCACATCATTGGGGGTGGACGAGTGCACATGGATTCAATAAAGATCTAGGCCATCATGCAGGGGAGCTGCCAACCAAGATAATGGCACTGCGGTCGTTCCTTGGCCTCACCAGCTACTATCGCGGTTTATTCGAAACTTCCCGAGCATCACCATGCCACTTACGGACATGCTAAAAATAAAGGAAGCCATGGGAGGATGGGTTGGATGTCAAGAGGCGTTCAATCTGACTCAAGTAGGCGATTGACTGAGGAACTAGTGCTCACACCCAGCCGATCACTCAAACCATATGAAGTAGAAATGGACGACTCAAATTATGCTATTGGGGTGTTCTAATGTAGGAAGGACACCTAGTGGCATTTAAATCAAGGAAGTTGAGCGAGACCGAACAACGATACATGGTCCAAGAGGAAGAGATGACGGAGGTGGTGTACTGCCTTCATACATGGCGACACTACCTATTGGGATCGCGGTTCATTTTGAGGACAGATTACGTGGCCACGAGCTACTTCCAAGCATTGAAGAAGCTAAGCCCAAAGCAAGCTTGTTGGCAAGACTTCATTGCAGAATTCGACTACGTGATGTAGTACAAGCCTGAGAAGGTCAACTCCGTAGCCGATGCACTTAGCCGAAAGATAGAGATGGCAACCATCAGTCAACTCGAGTGCCCATGGACCGAGTGAATCAAAGAGGGGCTACAACATGGCCCAACTGCTAGGGCCCTTTTGCTAGGGCCCTTTTGGAATATACACGGGAGGGCAAGACTTGGCAATTCTAGTATGAGGGCAATTTACTCTACACCAAGGGGCGACAACTGTACTTGCATCTCTATGGGAAGTTGCGAAAGGAGGTACAATGAGAGTGTCACGATTCCAAATGGGTGGGTCATGCGGGGATCCACCGCAAGATGGCACTTGTAGAGAATCGGTACCTTTGGCCACACCTATGCGACGATGTCGGTGGATCGATTCACCAAGTACGCGACATTCATGCTCGCTACAAAAGACTACCCAGCTGAGAAGGCGGCTCGGCTATTTCTAAAGCATATTGTCAAGTATTGGGATGTACCACAGACGATCATGAGCAATTGCGATCCTCGTTTCACGGGGATATTCTCGACCGAGCTCTTCAAGCTGCTAGCATTGGACCTCAACTTCTTCACAAGCCTACATCCCCAAATCGACGGTCAGACGGAGAGGGTGAATGCACTCTTGGAGTTGTACCTCCAACATTATGCGAGTACAACGCAAAAGGATTAGGAGAAGCTAATCGGTGTAGCCTAGTTCTCCTATAATTAGTAGTGGAGTGAGTACAAGAGCCAAAGTCCTTTCGATATCATGACAGGGCAATAACCACTCACTCTAAGTACAATTGCAATGGGCTATCAATGGAGTAGCACATCCGCTTACAAGTTTGCTAAGGAGTGGCATGAACAAGCAGACTTGGCACGAACTTGCCTACACAAGATCAAGCCTTGCTGATTCCCACCCCTGACCATATTCATTTCAACTCTATGTTCTCTACATTTGTCCAAGTTTCTCCGTCCTCCGACGATCTCCAAAAGAAGCATCCCATAACTATAGACGTAGTTATAGGCCGGTTACTAACCCATTCCGGTTATGTAATAGGCCGATTACTAACCCATTCCGGAGCAAAGTAGCCTCTGGTTCCTCTAACCATGGTCATGACTTGTGAATGCTCTCTCCCCATCAACTTAGCTAGCCCGAAATCTGAAACTTTGGGACAGAAATTCTCATCCAGTAGAATATTTTCCGGCTTAATGTCGCAGTGTATGATCCTGTTCCTACACTGCTCGTGAAAGTATGAGATCCCTTGTGCCATCCCAATGGCTATTTGGAAGTGGGTTTGCCAATCTAGCAATCTGTCTCGCGAGCTGAACGAAGGGAAAATCCACTTGTCCAAGGACCCGTTTTTCATGAACTCGTAAACAAGAAGCCTGTCCATTACCAATCAAAGAATCCAGAAGAATGAAAATGAAGCATGAAAAAACCCATCTGCTTACGAGTCTCTATAATGGTTCCTTGCACATCTTGCCTTTAGTATGATACACTTAATTCAGTGATTTTTTTATCATATCACGGCTTCTGATAATAGAAACAACAATTACTCATCAGCAAAAAATAAAACAAAAAAACAATATAAACAACAATTACCCATCATACTTACGCATCAAACAACAACAGCCCAAATCATAAAAAATCAGTTCCGGACACAAAACAAAGAAGAACAGGGATGGTTTTGTACCCTCCTGAGACCCCATGGCTAACGACAACGGGCGAAGGTGAGCGAGGTTCGAACGCAGTGAGGAAAAAGGACTTTTTTTTTTTCTCAAGCGATTTTCTCTCTTAAGGATGCACAAATCAAGGCAACTAATCGTCAACAAATTTCAAGCAATAGTCAACAGTAGCGGAAGATGCACAAGTCAAGAGCAGCGGAGCTCACCGATGGGTGGTGCTCAACTAATCACCTCAATGGGAGGAGGCAGAGGAGGAGGAGGAAGAGGAGAGGATGAACGGGCAATTAAGAAGACGGTTAGTGCCAGTCAATGCGGAGATGGCGACGAGGATGGCAAGGCGACGCCGTCAACAGGGAGTTCAACTTCGCCTATCTTCTGGGTCCTCTGGGTAGAACCACGGCTCGATCTCTTCGATGACCAGTTCTTCAGAGGGAGCCCTCCGACCCCGACCCGATTCCACGAAGCCTCCGTCCTTTTTCCAGCAGTTGAGAGGGAGCGTCCGGCGGTGCTCGTCGGAGGTGGTCGGAGGATTTTCCAAGACTGAGGGAGGAGAGAGATGAGAGGTGTGAAATTTGAAATGAAGTAAGAGAGAGAGAGAGAGAGAGGGGATGAAGATGCAGAAAGGAGAGAGAGAGGGGGGGACGCTGGCAACCCGGGAAGATTTCAAGTTTTTCTCTTTTTATATTTCCACGTCAGTGACACATGTCACTCTTTTAATGGTGCCACATAGGCAAGTGACGTGTTGATATCATACCACCAAATATTTTCTCGTGAAAAGGGGACATTAATCAAACAGAACCTCGCAAAAGACAAAACACCCAACTGGTTTTATTCATTTCAGAAAAAAATGCCTCTCTCCCTTTCATCCAGACTCGCAAACTCAGTCACAGCATCAAGATTCAACCACCCAAGACACTACCTCAATCACGCTCGCACTGCCCCCTCCCATCTCCACAACCTCTTCATCCCCGTCAAAACCCCACTTCACAATCCCACTCTAGCATTGACCAAAAACCCAATCTTTACCTCAAAAACCCAGAAATCCACTTCAGTCTTAAACTGCGCAGACCCTAGCGAGTCTCTGCATCTTTCACAACCCTCAGAAACTCAAGAACAGACCCAGAAGAAGAGCTTCTGGGGAGCTGTCAGCTTGATCATTGGCACGGCAGTGGGACCAGGGATGCTGAGCCTCCCTGCCCTGACCATCAAATCTGGTCCATTCCCTTCAACCATTGCAATTCTCTTATCATGGGTTTATGTTGTGTCGTCCATAGTTCTTGTTGCAGAGCTCACTTTTGCAGCCATGGAGGAAGAAGGGGTTGGGGAGGTGAGCTTCACTGGCCTTGCTACTAAGGCCTTGGGGAGCGGTTTTGGGGCTCTTGTGGCCATTGTGTATGCTTCCCTGAGCTTTTCTCTGTTGGTGGCATGCGTTTCTGGGATTGGTTCCATTTTCTCTCAGTGGTTCCCATGGATGGATGTTGCATTGGCCTTTGGGTTGTTCCCTCTGGCTGTCGGGGTTGTCATTGGGTTCTTCCCCTTTTATGCAATTGATGCTGCAAATAGGCTCTTGTGCTTTGTTATGCTCGTGTCTATAAGTGCACTGGTGGGGTTTGGTTTGTCTGTGGCTAGGAGTAATGTGGTTGCTTCCTTTTCTCATGCCTCTTGGAGCATGTCATCAATTTTGCCGGCCATACCAGTCATGGTACTGACGCTGGGGTTCCATGTGATCACCCCTTTCATTTGCAAGATTGCCGGAAATTCAGTTCATGATGCTAGGAAAGCTATTCTAATTGGTGGTTGCATTCCATTGATTATGGTTTTGTCGTGGAATTTGATTGTTCTGGGGCTTTCTGGGACTAATCCCACTGCTTCACCTGGAGATCCCATAACCCTTTTGCTCTCTGTGAAGTCCTCTGCTCTGTCAGCGGTTCAAGGTTTTGCCTTTTCTGCTCTTGGTACTAGCTTGATAGGCTATGCTGTAAGTTTCCCAAAGCAGCTCGTTGATACCCTAGACTTGATTTTCCAGAAGAACAACGGAGGGAAAAATTTGAGTCCTGCTCCAATGATCTGTCATGGAAATGGAGCTGGTAGAGTTGGTTCTCTAGGATATTTGAGGTTGGATTATGTTGGTAATCCTGGCATCATCTCATTTAGTAGATTACAACATTCATCAGCTCCAGAAAATTATGCAACATCGAGCATAAGGGCATTTGATTCCATTGAAGTTCTTGTATTGCCAGTGGTACTTGGTGCTTCGGTTCTTATAGTGTCCTTCTTTCGCTCGACTTTTTCTAGAGCACTTGATTTTGCTGGGGTATATGCTAACTGTTTCCTATTTGGGATCCTTCCTCCATTGATGGCATACATTCAGCAATCCAGGAAGAAGCTCAGGTACAGCCCCAAATCTCAAGCTAGTTCCACTTTCATCTCTATTTGATGGTTTTCATGGATCCAATTATTATCTTTAGGCGCAAAACATGGTCTATAGGAACATCTATTCACCCTGCACATTCATTTTCCGCATTGCAACCTCTGTTTTGAGTAGTTGCCAATGTCACTGATCTCACCCTTTGGAAAAGCTGGAAAAGCTACAAATATGATGGATAATTAGATGTATATATTTGGTTTGATGTAAACATCAAGGATGTTCGAAAATATTCTCTGTAGTATACTAATGAAAATGGCAGTGCACAAAGTTAGCCAAGAGTCTTATCGGTGGGCTCTTTATAGGTTGGCAGGTGGAGACCAATAAATCACTAGTTCTATATGTTGCTCAGAGATTGCTGGACCGATTGATTCATCTGGTTATACTTTCAGTTTTTCCAAATCAATAAAAACCGATGAGATAGGCATCAGTGAGAGCTGCCAAGTTGCAGAGATGAATATTTTCGTGTATTACTGATTAAAGCACAAGACAAACTTTTTAACGAGCTCCTGATTGAATCATACTCTCTCTTATCTCTCTGCATATGCTTCATGAGGCGACAGGAAGATTCTACTCATATTCTGTATCTAAAGAATATGATTCTCAATATGTTTTGCTTGTATAGTAATTTACTCATATCCAGATTACATGTCAACTGCTTCATCCTTTCCAAGCGGGTTCATGGGTGGTGAAGGTATATGATTATTAATATGGTTTGGTTCTTCTTTGTTGAACTTGCTTTGAACCAGTGATGTATGTGGTATAGTGGAAAACTATAGAGTAACACACATGAACATTCTCTGAGAAGTATCTAAAATGCTTTCAACAAAAGCATGCGCCGGTCATTTCTCATCACCACACGTGTCATCATGCTATTGTTCACCTTTTATAGATGGACAAATTATATCTGAAAACAAGCTTTGCATTTTGCAGGCGAGAGATTCTACCGGGAGGAAATGTTGCTCTTCTGTTACTCTTTAGCGTTGCTGTTGCTTTAGGAATTTGGCATTAAGCACACCTAGTAATGACAAACCAGCGCCTCAAACAAGTCGAGGCTCACCTCACCTATTTCTGGTTCATTTTCTTCTTGCGGTTCAGATCTCTTGAGACGATTATTGTTGCTTTCTCTCGGCCAGATAGGAACTGCATGAAGGAGATGTATGGACATTTTTAGTCCAATCGTCGACATTATGGACCCATTCATTTGGTCGGATAATTTGAATGGGATTAATCATCTATTGACTTCTGGTCATTAACTTCTGAATTTTCATGATTCTATAAGAAAACTAGTTATGGAACTTTTGGTTAAAACTATAACTTTGGACTTTCACAGTCAGATGAATCATAAAGTAGTAGGTACTTGATCTAAAAGGGTATATATATAGAACTAAGTACACTGCTAGAGAACAAACTGAATGTGAAGTTTCATCGAAAATGCCAGACAAATACTGTTGATTTTGTAAACGAGTACCCTCAGAGCATTTGTTGAGTAACAAAATGAGGCCAATCAAGCTTTGAAGAAATGGTCTCAGTCTCTTGATAGGACACTCCCTAATGCGACGCTGATTGTATATGTCGATTGCATCAAGGGAAACAAGAACTGAGATTACATATGTCGATTGCGTCAGGGGAAATAAGAAGAACTGAGAAGAGATACTCGTCTCCCTTGAGATGCCGAGCCTCTCATCTCCATCTCGTAGCTTCGCTGAAGTGCCGTTAAATCTCTCTAGAAAAAGCCTTAACACAGTAATGGGAAGATCATCGGGCATTGAGGCTGCAAATGGGAACCTTTTGCTCTTGTATGTAGCAGAGCGAATGTAAAGTATAGCAGGCAATGGACGACGATTCCAAGCAACTAGATCAGAGCTTGGTGAAATGTTGGCAAAGAGTTACCTTCACACCCCTGTTCCTCCCGAGAGTGTTTTTCTTATGGTAGGAGGTCTGAAATACCCTCTTATTTTGACATCTCAAAATCCAGATGAAGTCTTTTAAGGACATGCTCAAGTCTATATGAAAATTTTTTGTACAAGAAAACAAAAAAATTCGAGGGCTTTTTATTTTATCTTTTGGCTGCATGAGATGGTAATTTTTTTCCCATTTTTCAGTTACCTACGCCCAGACATAGCGTATGTTGTTGGAATACTTGGCCGTTACCAAATAATAGCTTCCTTTGATTCGGGTATGTTATATTTATCAATTTGATCTCATGTCCATGTGATTAAAAAATCCTATTAATCTAACAGGGCACTCTTAGAAGTATGTCACTGACGAGTTCGTCAATTTTCCAGATGGCATGTCCTCCTCCGGCCATCGGAGCTTGCAAAAAGAAGCGGGAAATGAACACCTCACTCTAAGATACTAAAAACAAAGACTAACAGAGGAAGGGTGAGAAGCAGAAACAACAGTACATAAGAAAATAGAAAACAAGGAGAAGAGATTGATGAAAGCAAATTACCAGAGGAATGCTTTGCGAGAGTGCGCTTTCATCCTTTGCATCGTCGTTGTTTTATATGTTAGAGGGAGAGGAAGGAGAGAGAGAGCGTGGGGTTATAACATAAATGTGCGAGAGGGAGCATTACCTTGGCATGCATGAGCCCCAACCAACTACTTGGCTCCACATGGAGCCAAATCGGGATCGATTCAGTGTCCTGAATCGTCATCAGCTCCGAGGATTTCAAATGCAGCTTGAGGCGGGAGCTTGTTTCATTCCGCATAGCTCAATGTCATATTGATACCGAGCCCGGGAAACTCAATACGACATGGTTCTCTTCTAATATCAACTTTCACATGAAATACGCGTGCCCGAGATAATGCTTCGCGAATAATAATAATTTGTACGATGGAATCACATGTCTATTGATCTATCCGTACATTTCATATCAACTTCACTTCATTAGTTGCGAAACTTATTGTTCATTTTCTTTTTAATGTCGACGCGGCGCATTGCTGGTCACGGTCTAGTAATCACACTTTGGTAAAGAAATGGCGAGTTATGATACATAGGTGTTGGAATTGGAAATTTTTATCATTGGGGGGCGGGGGCAAGGGAGAGAACATTGGTATTGTGGGGTTGTCCGTGGGGGCATGGAGTTGGAAATTTTGTTTGAACATGTAGTAAATTAATTGGGTCTAAACCTAAACTTTTTGTACATGTTCTATTTAGTCCCTGAACTATATAAAAATGTTCAATGTATTCCTTCCATTAATTCAAATTCAGGGATTACATTAAACATTTTCATATAGTTCAGGGACTATATTAAACATGTATAAAAAATCTAGGGTCCACATTGAACAAATTAAAAGTTTAGGAACCACATTGAATAATAGGCTAAAGTTCAGTGATGATATTAAACAAATTATAGGCTAAGGTTTCTTAATGTGCTCTAGAATACTCCTAGGGGCGGTCATTTTTGTAATTGTATCTCATCCTTGTAATTTTATTGCCGATAGGGAGGTGACCTTTGATTGGCCGATAGATAGGTGGCTTTTGATTGGCCGATAGGGAGTTGCAATCTCCACCGTTAGATCAAGGAGAGATCTACGGATACGTTTAGTCTTGTATTTGTATATAAAGGGGTTTCATCCCCCTCATTTGTACACATCTCATTCTTAAGTAAAATACATTCCAGAGCTTTAAGTGAGTGTGGGAAGGCTCACTTGGGAAGAAATTCCTAAGGCCACACGGGTTAGGGAACGCTAGATCGATCAACCTGTGACACTTGTATTTAATCCTTCTTCACCATATGCTCATATTCAACCCCATAGAGTTCGCCACCTCACATATCATAAAATTAACACATAACAGAGCAACTAACAGAGCAAAAGAGATATATGTTCAGTGACTCAAAGTGAACAGAGCAACCAGAGCACATAACAAACATCATAACAAAGCAAAAGAGATATATTTAGTGGCTCAGAGTGAACACATCATAACAAAGCAAAAGAGATATATTTAGTGGCTCAGAGTGAACACATCATAACAAAGCAAAAGAGATGTATTTAGTGGCTCAAAGTGAACAGTCACAAAACTGGCTGCTACTAAGTGCGGCTGTATAATACGAAAGAAAAAGAAAAGAAAAAACCTCGTACTCAAACCCAGAGAGTGGTAGGTAGATAATGGATAGGGGCATGGGAGACAGGCAAAGTATCTGGGCGATGCAAGACTTGGACAATCACCTCCCTCGAATGCTCCTCCTCCATGTCATACAGCAGCTCTCGAACTCTGTTTTCTACGTCATACAGCAGCTCTCGAACTCTATTTTCTTGAATATATGGAACAATAACAAGTTCTCATATAGCAACTCTCAAACTTTGTCTTCTTGAATATACGGATCAATAACAAGTTCTCAGCCAGGGATGCTCCCCATAAGCCCCGCGCGGTACATGTCTTCCGTCACCTAGATCCGGTGCACTATCTAGTTTCCCCCACATGTGGCTACCGAATATACAGAGATATAGCCACCTCATTCCCATTTTCACCTGCCCTCAGCTCCGACAGCACCACATGTCCTCCTAGCTCTATGAGCTCCGTCCCCACGTAGTGCCGCTCCTCCCTATCTTTGGGGTTGATGTGAACCCAGATCTTCAATATCACATGCTCTTGGGTGTTCGGATCGTAGCCCAAGGCGCTGTGCATGCGGAACCATTTGGGGTCAATCCTCCCAAAGTAGGGAGAAATCAGGATGAGTAGTGGGGAGTTTTTTGAGAAGCGTGGTCATGGGGTTCCATAGCCAGGTGACTTGGCCCTCGTCGAAGCAGCCTTTATGCTCAGTAGACGTTGATCCTCCTTGTCCAAGCTAGGAGGTATGTGCAACAATTCGGCATGGCCGAGTTCATGGTACAAAAGGTAGAACCTAGTGGTGGAGGCGCTGTCTAGTAGCTCAAGGTCAAAGTTTGGATCAAGCTCGCTGTCGAGACCAAAGAGGTGCTTCGGAAGAAAGAGGCGGTCCGGCTCAAAGAGGCCATTGAAAGAGATGAGAGAGGTGGGGCCGTACCGAGCTACAAATTTCTAGCGAAGAGCGGCCCGTCGAGGTAGGACTTCCACAGCTTCAACACACGCCTGAGTTCATCGATTTTCCCAAGGGGCATGTTGGACTTGACGAGGTCCAACCCATTTATGTGGCTTATTAGGTCTATTATTTAACATTTGACACAAACCCAATTTAATTAAATATATTATGGGCTTTATATTTGTGACATCCAATTAGCCATATCTTAAACATTGATGGACGGTTGAGATTTGGCAGCACTAGGGTTAGTCATCACTCCTTCTATATAAGGTCTCTATTTGGCGGAGAATGACATCTAATTATCACGCTTCTGTTATTCTCTATTAAATTGTTGAAAGAAAAATACACAATCATCACAACCATTACAGAGGAGAGTGGTGGATTCATACCCACAGACACAAGCTCTTTCTCATTGAATAAAAAATGGCTTCCTTTGATTTGTGTATCTTATATTTACCAATTTGATCTCATGTTCATGTGATTAAAAAATCCTATTAATCTAACATGTGGTATCAAAGCTTTGGTTATTCAACGCATGAACATGGTTATAAGGTTTATTATGATCTTTCAGCTCCTTTTATGATTGATTTATAGTATTTCATTGATTATGGAATAAATATATGATGATAATCAATTTTTTCAAATATCTTATGCAAATAATGTATTTGATTATGATGTTTTTTGAGTTTGTATTAACAAAACGTCTGAAATCGATAGCTACTGTCGTAAATTCTAGTTATCGTTCCGTGATCTGGTAATTGAATGGCCTAATTTTGTGTTATCCCTTCTCTTTTATTCAGTACACATGTATTTGGAAAGCGAATATTGTTAATGGCGTGGATGCGTTGGCATCGTATGTGATTATTTTATCAAAAACTTGCTTATATTCATTTGACGATTGGATTATGTTAAACTTTTCAAGGACGAATCTATGATGTCGAATAATTTCATTTATTTATTTATTTTTGTGGATCTAAACTATTTACGCAGTAATTGGCCCAACGGAAGATTATTGTTTTAAATAGATTTAGATTATGATAAAAATCGTCTCATGTTATGTTCATTATTAAATTCGTAACTGGCCTAACGGATATTTAATTTTGAGTATAATGATAATTTGATAAGCAAATAAATTGTTGATACGTCCCAACAGTGATTTAATTTGATTTATTCTTGCCTTATGAAATTTTCTGGTAA